TAATTTTATTTCTATCTAATATTAATATGTAAAATATAATAATAATATATATAATAATATATATATAATAATAATATGATGTTATATAAATTATTCTTACATCATTAAATTATTTAAAATAGATTATATAAGAATATTCCTATAATATATATTATTATATATAATATTAATATTACTATTATAATATGTTATATTATAACAATCCATTAGTATACAAGGAAATTATAAAAAATATACTTTAATTTTTTTATTATTGTAAATAAACCCCAAACTTTTCAAAACCTCATCCATACCCTTTATTTAGGTGAGTAGATGAAAATAGCTTTCACGGTAGCCCTAGAATCATGAAAGCATCACTCTCTATTGAAAATTGTAAGTGTCATTATGGGTTGTAAGTCAAATGTAGTTTTGAGGCATCACGACACTTAAAGAACCATGATGGTTTATTGGACTATCACGATTTTAATTTAAACGTTATACTTTCATCACGGGGCATAAGAAATCTTAACGACCATCACGGCTTTTTAAGTGACAAGGTGCTTCTTGACGACCATCACGGTTGTTTAAGTGCTGTGATACCTCAAAATATTAAACCACCCATGATCATCATGGCAATGAGTCTGCCGTAATATCTTCATTGTCCTAAGGCTACCATGAATGCTATTTTGTTTAAAAAAATACAAAAAGTGAAAAAAATTGGTATGGATTGGAGTTTTGAAAAGTTTGAAGTCTATTTCTAATAATCGAAAAATTAAAGTATATATTTGATAATTTATCTAAAATATATTATCATATTATATCACATTAATATATAATAATATATATATATATTAATACAAATATAATATTATTATATTTGTTTATGGTTTGTAACTTTCTCCGAAAATTGCTTATAATACGCCACTTACCTCAAGGGAACAGTGATATAGGAAAAACAAGTTCCGACTTTCCCAATTCTACTTTTCTCAAGCAGGTTAAAACTACAAGAAAGTGTGAGACTTTTCCCTGTTTTCTTCGTTATCAAACGCCGCCAAGCTTGGAAAGTGCCCAAATAAAAGTGCCAAAAGAGGTATGGATATAAGAGAGAGATTTGCAAAATTAGCGAAAAGGCAAAAATCAGTGGTGTACCCTCACCCTCACCCTCACCCCCAAGAGGAGAGAGAGGCAAACGACGAGGAAAGCACCTACAAACCCTTGAAAAAACCGAACGAAACGAATCAAGGTGAGCACGCACCCAGCAATGGAGATCCAAATGGCCGCCGCTGCAGCAGGCGGCGCCGCTGATACCTCGGCCGCGCTGCCCACGGGCCAAGCCTGGTGGGAGGGTATCGCTCGCGCCCGTGCCCGCATCGTTGCCCTCGTCCCCATCCTCGGCCCCCATCACCCCTCCCTTTCCTCCCTCTCTCACTCCGACCGCCCTGCCCAAGCCCTCCTCGAAGACTCCTCTCTCTCCTCGTCTCTCTCATCCGCTCTTTCTCTCTCATCCTCAGGCTCAGGCTCCGACCCCCTTTGTCACTGGCTTTACGATACCTTCCTCACCTCCGACCTCGACCTGATTCTCGTCGTATTAAGCTTTGTGCCTCTAATCTCGGGCTTGTATCTTTCTCGCTCTTCATCTCTGAGCTCTTCGTCATCTCCTCGTCCAAATCTGGCCGGCTTTGAAGCCGTTTTGCTGGCATTGTATTCATCAGAGGTAAAAATTCGTCAGGGAAAACCCATTAAAGTTAATATTCCTGATTTAGGGCTTCCCAGTTTGTACCATGCTCCTCGTCAGGCACCGGCTGGGTCTCCGAGGGTGCCTGAGCAAGGGGTGGTGTCACCGCCGCTCGAGCCGCAGACGGCAGTGAAGTCAACAAAGCGCGCTTCAATTGTGGGTGTCGCCCTCGACCTCTTCTACCGCAAGATTGCAGTGATGCCGATGCGTTCCAAGCTTGATCTGTGTAATTTTGCTGCCTCTTGGGCTGGACAAAACTGCCCATGTTGCCACCAGCTCGACGATTTAAATGTTGGGTCATTACAGATTGCAATGGAAAATCTAGATTTGCAGAACCATAATAACTCTGAGCCCTCCCCTTCTTCTCCACGTTCTAGTTCATCTTCTTTGTCTTCCCGCTCAGTTGTTCAAGAAGAGGAAGATGGCCCCTCGGCTAAAATTAGGGTTTCTTTAGAAGAGAATGACCATGGCCAATACCCAGAAATTAGGGCTCCTCCTTCAAGAGAGGAAGGTGAGGAAATTAGGATTCGGGAAGAAGCCAGGGTTTCCAGTGAGGGGAGGATCCCACTTCCTTGGGAGCTGTTGCAACCGGTGCTCCGAATCTTAGGACACTGTTTATTGGCTCCTTTGAACCCACAAGAGGTGAGGGATGCGGCTTCGGTGGCTGTAAGGAGTTTGTATGCGAGGGCATCACATGATCTGGTTCCTCAGGCTATCCTAGCAACGAGGAGTTTGATTCAGCTTGATAAGGGGGCTCGGATGGCTGCTCAGTCGGCTGCTATGGCAAATGCTAGTGTCAATGTAGGCACGCCCACTAAGCCCAAGAAACCGGAGATCTTTTTGGTTTCAAAGTGAGAAGGGAATCCTTCTTTATATGGTTTCAAAGTGTGAAGGGAAGCGTTCTTTTCTGCGGAGATTGACTGTTTGATTAATAGTTAGAGGGTTGATGGCTGTTGATGTGGGGACTCTCTGTGGTTAGGCTTTCTCTTGGGGCTTTGTGGTTCTCGGAACATGGGGTAAGAAATGGTGACTTTTAGAGTTATGTATGGATTGTTAGGTGGCCGTGTCTGTTGCAATTATGGTTAACTTCGGTATTTGAAGGAGATTTTGGTCCCTCTCTGTTGCTATCCAGCTGACTGTATACTATTGTGTTCATAGTTAATTTCTTTATTTATTCTCCTTTTTGTTGTTGTGTATGGGTTTATGATTTTACGATTTGTTTGAAATTGTAATGGCGCATGGGCATCATTTATTTTCTATATTTTCTGTGGGAGAGGTATATAAGAGTGATTGTGTTCTTCTCTATATATCAAAGGATTTGGGTTTACCCCTTTTTCAGGATGAAAAGCTGTGATGGTTGATATCAATTGCAATTCTTGTGGTTTTCTTGAAGTTTTGTTCGTCTATGCCCTTTTCCCGAACCTAAAATATGTTGAGTTTGGGAGATATGACTGATTTAAACATCTTGCCCTCATACATTGAGGATGCAAAATGTATATCTTTCTATACATTTTAAGCTTTTTCAGAAAATGTTTGCATCCGTTTTTATTTATTACTTATGTATATGTATCTTGTGTAGATGATACGCATTCTTGATTATTATGTCAAATTTAGATTCCCTTTCAATCACACCTATTAATTCTGTATATGTTCCTATGCAGGCATTGACAAATCTAGTCTTTATGTTAGCATTATAACCAGTAGAAAAATGCTTCCATTGTATTTTTATTTGCTCTTTTTTTTGAAGCATGTATAAGATTCAATGCTTGTTAGGCCATTTGTCTCTTACTTGAACAAAAATTGCATCTAACCATTAGTTACAAAACCTTCGGTTGTTTGTTTTGTTGGCTATGGTGCTTTATTCCTTTTTGCTTCCTACAGGCGGTTGTTAGTTAGGATTTCTACATGAGGTCATTGTGGTGTCCAGCATAGTTGCGGATAATGTTGTGGTCCCACCTTAGGAAATCGATCCCACAGTTCCTCTAAGGGATCTTAGAGGGAGGTGGGTTTAGAGAAATAGGAATCTCACTCCCTAAAAAGTGGGATCTCTATATACATGCTTGTAGGATCTCTCAAAGGAGAGGAGCTATACTATTAATTGAATTACTGCTTCTCTCTTTAGTATTTAAGATTTATTTATTTAGAATATATTAAATTGTGGTGCATATCACATAGTGGTATACTAGAATTATGGTATTAAAACTACGGTTTAATATCATAGTAATCAATCTTATGATATTGTTAAACTGTATTATTGTAGTAAACTGTAGTACTATAACTATGGTATTAGTAATAAGCTAAGGTGTATGATAATGGATTGAGCGGGCATTAACTCAATCCTAATTTTATCATATACTATTTCAAACAAATTGTAAAATCCCGGTGACATGGAATCTTGCTCCTAGGTATCCTAGGATCTAGCTCCTTAACTTATTGAATGTAACCCCAGGGACCTTCTACCTTATGGCGGATCGGTGTTCCCTAAATAAATCCCTCTCTGGGACCCACTTCCGCCTCCAATAACTATGGTATTAACTTTTTAATACTGCCTCAAGCAGGGTCTTGCATGTTATAGGGTCTTGGCAATCTTTTCTCCTTTTTCCTTGCTTTTGGGACAGGTCTAACTGGGATTCAGGTCTTGGAGGACATTAATGCCAGCTTAGAGCCTAGAGGCTTATTCAGTTAGCATTGGACTTCTCCTGTTTTCTTTTTTTGCCTTTCCCTTTTTCTTGTGCTTGATTCTTCCACATCTAAGATTCCTTTTATAAGATTATATTACTTGGCAAGTTGGGGAGGCCCCTAAGAGGGAGAGTCTCTTGGAAAAGGGGTTAAGGCTTCTTCTTCATCATTATTATCCAAGCCTTTTGCCCAACTATTTGGGTTGATTACATGAATATTGGTTTGCCATTTTAATCTGTCAAGAGCCATATCTTCAGTGTGGCCATAAGTCCCCATATCTTTTATCACTGTTTCCAACCATTTCCTTTTGGGCCTACCCTTTGTCTTTTTTGAGCCTTCCACTTGCCCCTAGCAGGTGTTGTACTAGGTTTGTGTTGCACATGGTCTGTCTACCTAAGTCTACTTTTTCTCATCTTATCGCCTATTGGAACCACACCTAAGTTATTCTGAATGTATTTATTTCTAATTCTATCTCATCTTGTCTTGGCACTCATCCATCATAACATCCTCAACTCAGCTACACTCATCCTATGAGTATGTTGTTTCTTGACTGCCTAACATTCCACCCCATAAAGCAAAGCTGGTATGTTTTTTTTTTGATAATGAAAGCAAAGCTGGTCTTAAAGCTGTCCTATATAACTTCCCCTCCAAGTTTATTGGTATGCAACAATTACATAGAATTCTGGTTGCACATCTCTACTTCGCCCACCCAGCTCTAATTCTATATGCGACATTTTCCTCAATCTCTCCATTTTCCCAAATTATCGATCCCAAGATATCGAAAGTGGTTTAAGGCTTGGTTCTTGAAGAATGGTTTTGAGGTTTGGTTACAACTTTGCTCTATATGGGTGTTGCAAATAATGGCCATTGTCATAGAATAACATGTGGATTTTCTGAGAATTGAGCTGTGGACTGCTTAGCATAATTTGACTGCATTCATGTAAAAATAAGAGATTTGGTTACAGCTTTGCTGTAAAAATTTGGTTACAGCTTTGCTGTGTATGGGTGTTGTGGTGGATGGCCATTGTTGTAGAGTAGCATGTGGATTTTCCGAGATTGAAGCTTGAGACTGGTTAACATATTTGCTTGAAATGGCGTCAAATTCAGCAGCAGTCATGTTCAAAATAAGAGATTTCTGTGCATTTCATTCTCATGCTGAGGTTTATATTTTAACTGAATTGTTTGTGGTAGGGAACTTTTTTTTTGTTCTTTTTTCTTTTGGGGAATGTGAACAATATAGCATTAGATATAAGTTAGGAATACAAAGTTTTGTGGTCTTCACAAGCTATGATTGCTGCTCTCAGTTATTGCAACTTACCATTTACATCATTTTGATCCAAATGTGAGAGGAAGGGGCGTGTTTTTTTTGTTTTTTATTTTTTTGGGGTTTTCTTTCCGGATGGCCGGGGAGAGGGGGGGGGGGATTGGGGGTGGTTGGAGGAGTGACGGGGAAGAAAAGGGGGAAGGAGTGAAAAGAGGAATATAGATTGCACCCTTGGACTCCTTAGAAATCCAGTTAAAAGGGTTAAGGGGCTGTTTCCTATTTCTTGAATGCATCCATGCTCTTTCTAGAGTGATACCTGAAAGGTGACCAGCTAAGTATCAGCCTCTTGCGATGTGTGTCAAAATGCCATGTGCAGTGCTTTACTAAGTTGCGTAATCTCTCAAAAAACACGCTCAAGCGCCCACTGGCAAGGGGAAGTCACCGTAGCCTAATCGATAACATTCTTGGAGTCACCCTCCACTACAACGGTTGAGTCCCACAAAGGATTGAATAACTTTAGGTCCTCTTGGAGAGCCCTGCCTTCTGCAACTGTAGCTGTGGTATTGCTGATGGGCATGAACAAAATAAGAGGATAGGGGCTGTACTATTGCCAAATACACCCCCTAAACCAGCCCTCTCTGGTTACAGAAAGAGCACCATCAAAATTGAGTTTGATGGTGCCTGTCTCCGGAGGGAGCCAATGTGACCTTGGGATCCTAAAGGAGATATACCTAGATATTGACAACCAGTTTTGTAAGAATTCTGAGGTGGAAATAGCACTAAACCCCTTTCGAAGTTTAGCCAACCCTATCACTGTGCCAATGAGTCTTTCCCTTACTGCTTGAAAAGTTGAATCCTGACCTTTGAAAATTCTTCTATTTCGTTCTATCCAATGATCCTCATTAGGGCCATGGTGGAAGCTTTCAATAAAGTGATACCCGAAGTTGGGAGGGAGGCAGAGAACTATGGTGAAAAGTTGCTTGATTTATTCAGGAAAGACCCACCTCTTGATTCGAAATAGTCTTAGGAGCATGGCCCGACCTGGGAAGGCCCAGCTGAATTGTAAGACGTGGTGTGCGCTAGAGTCTTCACACTTTCTGTACATGGTGCACCATTTGGCTAATTGGAACCCTCTTCTTTGAGGATGGTCCATAGTTAAGGTCCTCTTGTGGATATTCAGCCAGTAGAATGCCTGGTTTTTGGGTGGAACAGGGATGAACCAAGCTTTGCTCTCTATGTTAGGATGTTGTGAGCTCAGCTTGAGATGGTTATAGGAGGACAGTGAGAATAGTCGAAATATTACTGGTTACTGCACCAATCGATCCCGACCCTACCCTGCCTAGGAATGAAGTGGGAGCTGAGTAGAGACACGAGTTGTTTGAATTCGATAGTTTCTACATCAGAGGTCCCTGTGGAATTCTGATACCCAAACTGTGTGCCCCCCAAACTTTGTAACAATCTGAGATTCGAGACCAAAATACAGGATAGAGTGAAGTAATACATTTCCAGGTTCTGGGGCCCTGGAGCTGGATCCAACTTTGAGGTCGCCAACCAAGGGATCACACCCATAATTTGTTGGATTGCCATCTTTCAATGATGGTCCTCCTGAGTGAAAAATCTCCACCGCCACTTTCCTAGAAGGACAGTGTTAATGTCCTTGAGAAGCAAAATGGTTAGATCTACTGCTAAAGCCAGCATTGAACAGGTCTCAAAAGATAAAATTATTTGTGAACAAATATATTATTTTTCTTTTAAAAAGTTGCTTTACGGACATGTCGCGCCTTTCAATTTTTAGCTGAAAAACTAGGCACCTTTAGAATGTGTTAGACACTCTGTTAAACTGCTTCCCAATGCTTTTTTTTGTGTTTTTTTGGGAGGTGGTTGGCCATTCTGGTAGCTTTTAGGAAGGTTTTTGTAGTTGTTCTATGATTGATAACTTTTCGTGAGATAAATGAAGTTAAACTCTGCCAGTGCCATGTTGAAATAAATGGTATTCTAAGGTCAAAGTTGTTGCAGCTTTATTAATTAGCTTTGATGATGTGATCTTCATTAATCAGTTGTTCCAAAAGATTATTCAATTCCCAAGAGGTTTGCATTATGGGCGACTGTCAAAGAAATGCAAACTTCCAAAATTTGTGTTTATGAAATTCTTGGAATCCTTAAAATTTTGATATTGACCCTGGAATCTCTCAACGTGTTGTTCCTTTTGTGTCTTCATAGGAAACCAGATGATACCTGTAAGTTTTCCTGTGTGTTGGTTGTTTACGTAGGTTTCCACATATGGCTTTTAAGCTGTAACCTAAGGAAATGATAATTTTGTTCATTTTTTTCGGTTGACGTGGCCAAAATGTGCTACTAATACACCCAGAAGAGATGAACTATTTAAGATGTCCATTTAAAACTA